CTCAAAGTCTCCACAGGAGAGGCACTGATGCAGCACCTCCACCACAAACTGACCAGACACTGCCCAACCACCATCCAGTTCCAGACACTACTCTGAAGATAGGTTACTTCTCTCTTCTACAGAGATGTGTGGGGAGAGCACGCACAAGGGAAACCAAAATAAAAGGGCAGCCAGATGGAGCCAGACCAGAGAGCAATCTATCCTCACAGTCTTTCTCCCAAAGCAGACACCCCAAGGACAAGAACAAGTCAAACATGTACAGAACTTCTTCACTCCTGTCCCTGGGGCTCAGGGCCTTTCTGAGCAAGACAGCTGTGCTTTTAGCAGCACTCCTTGATTTATGGCACAGTGGGACTGTAGCACAGAGACAGTGAGAGACAACGCAGTTGGGGTTAGCAAGTTTCACAGAACTGCATCAGAAGAGGTGAAGCAGGCCCAGATGAATGCACTTCAGAAAGCCGTGTGAGACCTCAGTGTGGGACTAGCACCACTTGAGTCAGAAATGGTGGCTTCAACATAACAGGTAATGTGGATAACTTCTTGCCTTGCCCAGACTGTCACTTCGAACAGAAGTTAAGTGAGAATAAATATATGCCACACTGCCTTTAGGTGATGATGTGGTGACCTGAGCAGAGTTAAGGCTATCATCTGGAAGGTTTACCCTATGAAACTGTGATTGGGACCCCAGATGGTAGAAGGCAGGACAAGCATACGTCAAGGCCACCGCACACCTGAAGAGGAAGGGAACCCCAGCACCCACTATTTCACATCTCCCAGTAAGCCCCAATGAAGGCGAGGGCAGCATTTACCCATGCTGATTACGGCAATCTCTCCTGACGAGGAGTTGTGAGGTCCCACGAAGACACCTGACACCAGAAGGAGGGAGTCATCAGAGTTGAACTGGGAGAACTGTGTATAGCTCCAGTTGTACGGCCTCATGTTGGAGCTGTGCTGCAGGGAGATATCCAACTCATTGCTCCAGATCTACAGACAGACAGACAAACAGTCAGGAAACTGTTGAGAAGCCTGAGAGGTTCCACTTCATCTGTTTTGCCAGCGCTCACCAGGACAAGAAAAAAAAAATATCAAAGACCCTATTTAACTGCCTCCCAGTCCTGATTTCCCTGTCAATTCCCCTGACAGAAAATGGCCAACAGCCTTGGAGAGCGGCTAAATGCAGGACTACTTCTCCATCAGCCAGTGGAAAAGGTGTTCAGGCAGTGAATGGCACTGTCACAGCTGGATTCTTCAGCATATTTAGAGATATTTCTCGCAAGACAACCACTCATGCAAGACATCTTCTGCACTGGATCTCCACACTCTTTCTTAGACCCATGGCACAACAGGGGACTGATCTGCACCTAGAAAGCAGCCAGAGCCAGGCAGGCACCTTGGCCACCTTCACACAGGCTGGAGCTGGAATCCACAGCCCTCAAGGCTACATTTGCAAGAGTCATTAGTTCTGTGGCTTTAAGAACTCAGCATCTGCAGGAACCAGCCTAAGTCCAGGGACAGCTGGTCAAACCTCTCCTCTCCACAGACTTTCTACAGGCTGCTCTCCCAGCTAAGTCCCACTAAATCAAAGCTGGAAGGGTTGTACAGGGGAAGCTGCCACTTTACCTTGACGGTACAGTCTTTGGAGCATGATGCAAACAAACAGCCAGAGTGGGAGAAGCTGAGGTGCAAAACCTGGTCATTGTGCTCCTTCAGAGCCTGCACTTCCACGCAAGGGATGGTGTCGTAGAGCCTCTGGAACTCGTCATACCAGGAGACAGCAGCTGTAACACACGAGCAGGGACATGGGACAGGAACATAAGTGGAGGGAAGCAACAGACCTGAGCTAAACACAGCAGCCACAAAATCAGTCTTTAATAAAGCGCAGTCTTGATGCGTGCTAGACAAGCCAGGAGCAATGCTGGGGCCACCATCCCTACGGGTTCAGCTGAGTTAGCAGGGCTTAACATTTTTCTCAGTAGCTTCCCCACTCCCAACCCCCACCCAAAAAAATCTTTTCTTCTAGTAAACACACAACTCCACACCATACCACTACTTCCTAAACCAGTACAGCCACTGCAAGAAACATCCAGGGCATAGCTGTCAGCTATCTAACAAAAACCTTGCTCAGGACAAAACAGCCGTCAGAACTGCAGACGTGCTCCAGCACAACACAAACAAATCTATCATGTGATGAGAGGGAAGCTGCTCCTCAGGGTAGCGGGCTCCACTCTGATTATCTTTATCTTGTCTAACACAGAATTAAGAAGGTTCCAGAAAGGGTCTGAGACCAGGAAAAAACATCTCCATGAGATAAGAGACTAGAGAAAACAAGAGAGAATTGGGGCTGGATGCAGTGTGCCAGGACAGAAGAGGAGCCCTGCAGTACAAGGGCCTGGAGCACACTCGCAGAAGTCACAGTGATGGCCAGTAAAGACACAAATAAAGAGGTTTTTTAATGAAGCACCTGGTAAGACAGCCTACAGACTTCTTGCAGCAGCAAATCCCAAGGAAGCAAAGAGGATTAGACATGTATATGGATAAGGGCCAATTTCCCTATTTACACTGAACAGGACTGAAGGTTTTTTTGGAACTCACTGCAGCCCAGGAGGCACCTGCAGGCAGGGAGCAGCTTGCTGCCAGGACATCCCACCATTTCTCACCAAGCTATGCACTTCATCCCCCTCTGAAGCTTAGTCCTGGCCTGTCTGGCTGGGAAGCAATCTGAACAGATCCATATGGCCAAGCAACACCAACATTTCCTCTTACAAGACCCACTGGATACCATTCCCCAAACTGCAGAGCTGCCCAGGGCAGGCAGGCTGGCAGGGGATTTCCCCAAACTCCTGCTTCAGCCCCTTCCTGGGCCTGCCAGCCACCCCCTGCCCCCGCTGCCTCACAGCTCCAGAAGCACAGCCTGGGAGGTGCCCGAATACATTACTGAGTTACACCAACTGCTCAATCCCAATTAGTGCTAAAGAACAGGGCTGGCAGCTTACTAACTAGCTCCAGGAGGCTGGAAGCGAACAAGCCTGGTCAAAGAACCTCAGGTAAAGATAATGTCCTCAAGCCCACAGAGCTCCAGGGTCTCCACAAGTGAAATCACACAGCCCAAGTCATCCCATCCACATCTCATCTCTTCTCAGAGCCCTTCTGCACTGGTGTTCCCCACTGCAGGGAGATGGGCTCCTGCTGCTTGGTCCTCAGCATTTCTTCCCATCCTTCCGTAGCAACAGCAACTCAAGGTCAAGAACCCAATTCCCTCCGCTGTGGCCACACTGGGAGCCCCGTGCACATCCTTGGGGCGGCAGATGGAACACAGCTGTCCCGGACCTCTGCAGCAGGCTAGGAACAGGCTTTTCGGTCTCCAAGAGAGACCCACCTTGGCAGCAAGGGCTCCTGTCAGCTGGTCTCCAAGGCCTGTCTCAGCTGGTGCGACAGCATTAGGATACCCTTCCAGACTGCACCAAACCGCTTCCAGCACCTGATACTCACCAGAGACCAGACCCGTGACTGTAGACTGTCGCCACCAAGACTGCCGACAGCTCTGCCCAGGGAAGGCCCCGCCAGGCTCAGTTGATGCTGACTGTTAATGGGTCATCTTCCTACTGCGAGTCAAGGCCAAGATCAAGTCCGACCTGCCCTCGCAAAGTGGGTCAGCAACTGCCTTAGCATTTACCCACTGTACAATTAAATGGCCGTACACCCACCTCCCTCTCCAGACAGCAGGCACACGTGTTCTCCCTCCACAGCCAAGCTGCAGCTGCTGCCTACGTCTTATGGAAATAGTCTGATCAGCTAATGTGTACTTGCAGCTCTTCCTAGTCCGGATGAGAAAGGGACAGAGCCTGAAGCAGAGGCTTGCTGTGAGGTCCTGATCAGGAAAAGCCAGCAGTGATTATCTTGGAATCCAACTGGGCTGTGATGTAGCAGCGCACAGTGACTCACTGCATCTCCTCAGGATCTCCCTCAGCAGCAGCAGTGCCCAGACAAGCTGTGCAGTAGCTACCAGAGAGAGTAGCTGTGCAGTAGCTACCTGCCTAGAGAGAGCTCAGAAACCACCTTTCTGCAAAAGGAAGGGAAAGCTGAAGCATTTTCAACTACCCGATGCCCCTTTCTGAAGGGTTTGGGCCGTTCCAGAGCCCTTCACGTGCACGTCACCACCCAAGCCTGCAGACCGCTAATGTGATACGGTTTAGTGGCTCCATCACCTTTGACGCCAGAGAACGGAGGGTTGAGCAGCAGAGGGGGAGAGGATTTCTCCCTTCTAGGCTCACGGCAGGGAAGTTTCGGGAGCTGCCACCCGGGGAAAGGCCCCCCCCCAGGGCCGGCAGAGGCCCCGGGGCCGAGCGGCCCCCTCGCCCGGCCCGGCTGCCCTGCCTGCTCGGCAGGTTCGGGAAGGCAGCCAGCCAGCCCCGCGGGCAGCCACGCCAGCCCCTTCCTTCCCTCCACGCCAGCGCACCTGGGTGCCGAGGCACCTCCCGGGAGATGCGGTAGTAGCGGTAGAAGAGCTCCTTCCAGAGGAACTCGTCCCGGGCCACGGCGTGCCACTGCCGGCACACCAGCCCCGCCGAGAGTACGTCTACGTGGTCCAGGTAGAGGAAGATCTCGTAGAGGACGCTGTCGGGGAGGAGGGGGCCGCCGCCCGCATCCATCGTGTCATTCTGCCGCCGCGCCT